TACATACATAATAAAAAGGAAGAAAATCTGACAAGAGTTTAACTTTTCTCGAGAAAGTTATTGGTGTTTGACTAGAAACCGATCAGTTTCAATAATCGGAAAATTCCATATGACTCTCTTGATCTTTCTTTGACTTCCGATTCGACTTCTCAACTTGTAAGCTTTTTTCTTCTCTCTCTCTTTTTATAGTAATATCTCTGTTTTTGGTGAAGCAGAGCATAAAATTATTCGATAATAATCATATATCTATCATCTTTAAAGATATTGCATGCAATGATGTTTTCTAAAGTTACGAAAAGCCAAAATAATGATTCGGTTGATATAATTCAAAAGAAACGATGATTACATGTAATTAGTTTTCCTGAGAAAAAGAAAAGAAAAGAAAAGAGAAATCTTTGAAAACTGCGTCACTTGAGCTCTGAAATTCACAAGTTCAATTTGTGTTTTCTTTGATCGCATTTCGTTGACCATGTAAGATTCCAGAATCGTATTGAATTATGATCGTTGTTCTTAAAGATTCATACTTTGAGTAAGTACTCGAATTCCTGGAATTTGCTCTGTTAATTGCTTCAAGTTAGCTCTGGAATTCACTTAATTTTAATGGTTTTTTATTGGACAAATTGGTTTCAGGCGTTGACCATATAACAGATTGATCATAAAGATTGATACTTTTGATTGTTACAGGTAACTGAAAGATGAGGCATGAGTTTCCATGGCTATGGAAAGTAGAAACCAGACGGCTTCTATGGCTATTGGGACTCACATTCGCTATCGTCGTCACGTTTCAGTACATCGAGCTACCGTATGCCATCTCCTCCCTCTTCTCTTCCTCCAAGATTCCCATTTCAAGAAACTCAACTTCACTTTTACGAGACGGTGAGCATCAGAATGTTAACTTGACTCCAGCTATGGCGCCGAGCTTTTCGCTAAGCAATTCCACTTTGACTGATCCCGGGGGAGATGACGAAGAAGTTGAGGTTGATCAGATTTACGACAGCAGCGGAAATGCTACTTCCCCCGCCATTTCGCCTACTGCATTCCCGCCTTTAAACCCGTCTCCAGTAAAGGAAAACGCAACCGCACCTGCCGCTAGTGCAAAGGCTCCTACTGCTTTACCTGATTTAAAACCGTCTGTGGTAAAGGAAAATGCAACAGCACCTGTGGCTAGTGCAAAGGCCCCGGCTGCATTACCTGATTTAAGCCCACCTCCGGTAAAGGAAAACGTAACAATGCCTACTACTAGCCAGGGACAGAGAAGGAATCCAACTAAAACCGAGGTTGTGAGATTTGTTCCTGAGGTAAAGGAGAAGGAGAAAACGCCTGATTCCGGAGTGATGTCAATATCCGAGATGAGCAAGCAGTTGCGTCAAAACCGTATTTCCCATAATCGTCTAGCAAAGGTATCATTATCATGGTCTTACTTAAGAAGTAGCAATAGTGTACCATGTTTCATCTCTCCGTTTGTTGTTTTCAGAAACCAAAATGGGTTACTAAACCTGATTTGGAGCTTTTACAAGCAAAATATGAGATTGAGAATGCACCGATCGATGACAAAGACCCTCTCCTCTATGCTCCTCTATATCGCAATGTTTCCACCTTCAAACGGTGAG